TGGGGACAGGGAGGGAGGACAGGAGGGCTTGTGAGCAAGTAGACGGGCGGTGTAAGACATGTAGCAGCGATGCGCTGACTCTGACTCTGCTCCTCCTTTCTCGGTCCTCCTTCTCTCCAGGTGTGCATGGTCGGATTTGACCTCCTCCTCGGCCTCGCCTCCTGCTACTACAGCCTTACGCATGCTCGAGAGCTCCTGGAGTCGACCGCCGCCATGGCGGAGTGGCAGAGCCACGTCATTCTGCAGGGGATCCGTTGGCTCATGGGAGTCCCAGCTGGACTCAAGCTGAATGACAACCTCGGTGAGTGAGACAGAGTGAGGAGATGGAGCAGCAGGAGGGGGAGGGAGAGAAGGAGAAGAGGCAGGAGCATGAAGAGGAGGGAGTTAGCAGCAGCAGCAGCAGCAGCAGCAGCAGCAGCAGCAGCAGCAGCAGCAGCAGCAGCAGCAGCAGCAGCAGCAGCAGCAGCAGCAGCAGCAGCAGCAGCAGCAGCAGCAGCAGCAGCAGCAGCAGCAGCAGCAGCAGCAGCAGCAGCAGCAGCAGCAGCAGCAGCAGCAGCAGCAGCAGCAGCAGCAGCAGCAGCATGCTCTTGACTGGTCGCTGTCAGACTACTGCATCGGAAACCTGTGCATCCTTGGGGTCGAGTGCTACAAAGTCATGTTCAGCTGGACTTCAGGTCTGCGCCCTTGGCTCCTGCTGGTGACGGCAGTGTCGGGAGTTTTCGGCATGTCAATCATGCTCTCGCTCATCTCCGACCTGATCTCCTTCTTCACCTTCCACGTCTACTTGTTCTACTCGCTCTCGGCCCGCTGGCATGGCGTGCAGACGCGGGTGCTATCGTCGCTGTGGCGGCTCTTCCGGGGGAAGAAGAAGAACGTCCTGAGGGGGAGGATAGACGCCTGCGACTACTCGCTGGACCAGCTGCTCCTTGGGACCATGCTCTTCACCCTGCTGGTACCTCCTCTCCCCTCCTCCCCCTCCCCCTCCCCCTCCCTCCTCCTCTCTCCCCTACCCATCTTCCATCCAATCGCTTCCTCTTGCCTCCCTCCCTTCCCTCCCTCTCTGGCAACGACCTTCCCCCGTCCACCCCGCTCTTCCTCTCCCTCCCTCTCTCCTTCCTCCTCGTCCTCGTCTCTTTCCTACCCCAATCCTTTCATCTGCCCTCCTCCCTTCTCGCATCCTGACCATCCCTCAGGTTTTCCTCTTCCCAACTACCTTCGTCTACTACCTCTTCTTCTTCCTCCTGAACTTCACCGTCAGCGTCGTCCAGACTGCCATCCGTCTTATCGTCTCTGTCCTCAATCACTTTCCCCTCTTCTCCGTCCTCCTTCGCCTCCTCGACCCTTCCCATCTCCCAGGTACTCCCTTGCTCCCCTCCCCTCTCCCCTCCCCTACTCTCTCCTCTCTTCCCTGTCCGCACTTCCTCCTCTCCCCTCCCCTCTCCTTCTTCCTCCTCCCTTCCCTTCCCCTCTCACCCTCTCCCCAGGAGGCGCTCGGCTCGAACTTCTCAGGTACCCGGACCACGTGAAGGGGCTGGGAGCGAAAGAGGAGGAAGAAACTAGTCAGTCCTCCCCGCTCCTTCATCTCCTCCCCAAGGTCCTGTCCAAGTTCTTGCCGCTGCATCTGGAGCCCGAGAAAGTGCCCGCAGCGTCTGTTCTCTCCTCCTTCTCCGAGGAGCAGGTGGGGATGAACAAGAGCTCCAGCATGCCCGACCTCTCCCTCCCCGGCGGCTCCTTCGACCTGGGCTCGCATGCTCGTGGGAGCGGCTTCACGTCGGAGAGCTGGAGAGACGAGCAACCGTCGCCGCTGCGGGCGAACGAGAGGAAGCGATCGTCGCTGGTGAGGGATGGAGAGCAGTGGAGGAGGAGGAGGAGGAGGAGGGAGGAGGGATGTGTGTAGAGTGAGGGAGGGGGAGGAGTTGGTGGTGTGCTGGTGCTGCTTCTAGTTTAGGATTGATGGAGGAGGAGGACAGAGACGAGGACCAGAGAGGAGGAGAGGAGAGGAGGAGGAGGAGGAGGAGGTCTTGACTTGATGTCAGGTGGGGAGGTCGAGCTACTTCACGCTTCAGAATCGAGCTCTACCTGTGAACTTCCTCTTTCAGAAGCACATGACGAGAATCGCTGCCGTCATCTCACAGTAACAAACCCAAAACAAATCCTCAGGTCGCCTCCTCCTCTTACTCCCTTCCCTCCCTTCCCTCCCTCC